CAAGAGGACTCATATAAAAATCGACCACATTTCCCCATACCAGCAGTATTAGGAAATGAAATTCAGTAAAACATAACAGAGAGAAACACCCATGATCATTTAATGCTTAAGAATACAGATACTGACGACTCCTGAAAACTATTGCTAAGAGAAATTAAAGAAGACCTCAATAAACAGAAATATACATTATATTCATAGATTGGAAGACACTATTTTTAGATTGTCAAATCCTTGTTCTTCTGAATAGTATTGCAGCTGGCATTTGGGGGGAGGTATAGTTTTGCAGGTGAATTGTAACATATAAGTGGAAATCAAAGTATCTCAATTAGCCAAGATGGAGAATTAAGTTGGAGGATTTACTCTACTAGATTTCAAAACTTAGGTTAAAACTACAGTAAGTAAGACACTCTACTGGTGTAAGTAAACAGAACACAAATGAATGAAAGAGAAAAGAGTAGAAAAGTTACCCACACCCATATTCAGTTTTTTAATAAAGTCACCAATATGCATCACGGGGTAATGATAGACTTTTCTGAAAAATATCTGTTGTGATAAACAGTATCAAGTGAGAAATTATTAATACATTGGGGAAGTTTTCGGTAAAATGCAGTACAGGTGAAGGAAACAGCTAGTTGAAAGAACCTGACACAAGAGTGAACTGGAAAATATGGGCTGGGGTTTCAGAGTAGAAGGGACGCTACCCGGGTGTGGCTCCAGCACTTACAGCAAGGGGTCTTGGCCCATTAGAGACCCTCTCTGTGCCTCAGTTTCTTCAACTGCAAAGCAGCAGAGAGTTATATTTTTGGCACCAGTCAATTTTGAACACTAGAAGTACCAAAAATGAAATAATCATTCCGTCGAATCATGAGGGAGGTCAATGAAATCAGTGGGTAAAACTAAGTGCACACCTGAGTACCTTTCACAAATAGATTCCAGGTCCCACCTCAACTCGCTGAACCACAGTTGCTTCAGGAGAGGACGGTGCACTTGTGTGGGTGCTAACTCTCCGGGGTGACTCTTAGAATGATCATCTTGGGGACAGAACACAATGAGATGTATAACTTTTACCCAAACACAGAAGGAGGACAGAGCAGAAGCACAAGGGTGTTTCCAGTGCAGTGACTAAAGCAGAGAACTATTGGAAGACTCTAGAGTTGAAGGACTAGGCCCATCTGACCCCATTTTAGTCTTGTCCAGTTTACAGCAGAGACACGAGTCCTTGGGGACACATGCCTGTGGCGGCTGACCATCCACCTTGAGGAAAGTGAGAGGCCTAATTTTTAATTCAGTCTGGTTTTGAGTGAAAGCTAAATTCACCCTTGTTTTCTCATTGATGGGACCAATCTTCTCCAAGCCGCCACTTTCTAAAAAATAAATTGCATTGCTATAAATACAAACTTCAACAACGATGTTTGTTAGAAAATTTTATAAATACCCAAGCCACCTAACAAGAAACCAAAAAGTTAGCAAGAGCATTCAATTTCAGGAGAGTTCAGCCCAATAGAGCACAGTCACTGAGAGAAAAGATTCTTGAGTTGAAAAGAAGTGATCCCTTTCTGTCCTGGGACATCCTGCTAACATCAGTGGGTTGAGAAAGTAGCTGCCCATTCTAACAGATGGGATTCTCAGGTGGCGCTTGTGGTAAAGAACACTAGCTGGGTAAAGAACCCATTAACACCCACTAGTGTTAATGTAGGACACGCAAGAGACATGGTTTTTTGTTTTTCTTTTTATTGTCAAATCGAAGGTCAAGTTTACATTTAATGACTTAGGTATTAACTATACACATACTAGTAAGTGCTAAGACTTAAAATCTTCCGATTCAGTTGTGACTCCAGACAGGATCCAGAGAGGAGGTCTAAAAATCTCTTCTCTGGGTTTTGTGGAGACTTTCTTTACCCTACTGTGTTAGCCTCTTAAGGCACTGCGTCAGCCTTAAGAGGGCAAAGGAAAGGGCGAAGGAGACACGGTTTTGATCCCTGGTCAGGAAGATTCCCTGGAGGAAGACATGGCAAGCCACTCCAGTGTTCTTGCCTGGGAAATTCCATGAACAGAGGAGGCTGGAGGCCTACAGTCCATGGGATCACAAAGAGTCGGACACGACTGAAGCAACTTAGCACAGCACACAATCTGACAGACAGGCTGCTCTTGCCTCCAGATGGTGTCTGGTGTGCTGAAACACGTTAAGCACTCAGGGAGCCTTTAGAAGGGCCCAGCCATCACTTCTGCTATTGCTCAGTGCATAGAAATGGTTTAGTTGAAAAAAGGTAGGGCTCTAGGGATAAAGTCAGGTCACAGAGAAAAAGAGGAGTATGAAATGGGATAAAGGCAGGATAAAAACAATAGAATTCTCCTACCTCCAAAATGCAAAGCAATAGCTTACTTGCCTTGATGAAGTGGTTTTTTTTTTTTAAATTTTAACTTTGGTTGAATAAATTTTTTAATGTACTTCTTCTACAATGATGTTACCTTGAATGATTACGATCAAAGAAAGTTTCATAATATGTGTGCAATGCCTGGCACGGTATCAGTCAATGAACTGTACCTGTTACACACTTCTGCTAGCATGGCAAAATTCATCCCCATTTGACCTCAAGTCAGATACCTTCTGTGAGCTTTTATGGTTTCATCCTATTTATAATGAAGAAATTTGACAAATTTTTCTTTCTCCCACAGAATGTCAGGCCCCAGAGCAACCGGAAAATAGATTCCCTTAAAGCCTTTGCTGAATCTGACACACCAATTATCATTAAGCATTGTAGTTGGAGGATTGTGTGGGGGTGTGGGGAAGATAAGCTTTCATAAATAGTTGTTCCAGTTTTCTTTTACCTTAACATGAACAAATGCTCAGTGGCCTGCTGTCACACCCATTTCACCCTCCATCCAGGTTAGACCAACAGCTAACCTGAAGAGATGGATGCTATAAGGGTTCCCTGAGTCTCATACTCACAAGACCCAGGTAGGAAGAGATGCTAGGGAAATGAGGAGTTGGTTCAAACCATCACTACCCAAGGGCCTGCCTGCATCTTTTTCCTCAAACTCAGCTTCTATGTCACTGAACCCAATGCTTCTGTTCACTTTGGATCATCCTGACCCCTGACCTATGACCTTGAACTTAACCATGCTCTGTTTCTGGAATACAACCACAGGTCAATGGCATGAGGAAAACTCATAGAGATGGGTCAAAGTGTGTGCCACAAACACTGCTCTGGAGCCCTGGTCTGTTCAATATGTGGGTGAACTGAATGAACACAGAACGATAGCACGAGGCTGTCAGATCTTTCCTAAACAGACAGGCACCCCATGTATTCAGTGGCTCAGTGGTAAAAGAATCAGCCGGCAATGCCGGAGACACAGGAGATGCGGGATCGATCCCTGGGTCAGGAAGATCCTCTGGAAGAGAGCAGGGCAACCCACTCCAGAATTCTTGCCTGGAGAATTCCCATAGAGAGAGGAGCCTGACGGGCTACAGTCCTGGGATCGCAGAGAGTCAGACAAGAATGAAGTGATGGCACAAGCATACCATGTTTTCGAAGATAAACAATTCTAGTCACTTTGACAGCTTGGAAAGAGCTCTTGTGAGGCTACAGTGAAATACATAAGTGAAAGTATGAAATGCAGTGTTTAGTAACATTAAAAAAAATCAAATAAAACAACCCAGACCCAGAGGAAGAATTCAGAAAGTAGGGATGTCAAATTTCAGTTTATTCTGTAGACAACATGCTGCCCAGCAAAGAGAAAAAAATGACATAACAACAGGATGCAGCAAAAGCACTGAGATGGGACAGAAAATATTTTTAAAAATTCTTTATTCACTTAGTATTGTACTCTGATTTTTATCCTACAGTTTTTAGGACACAGACTAAACTGGAGAAGACACAGGGAAGAAGTTTATGACATCTACAAGTTTGATGTCCTTCAGTTGTGGAAAAGCCTTAAGATCTGTTTAAAATGATGATGTTTAAAAAAAAACAGATGAGGTGATATGGTTTCTCCAGTAGTCTTGTATGCATGTGAGAGTTGGACTAAAGAGAAACCAACTGCCGAAGAATTGATGCTTTTGAAATGTGGTATTGGAGAGGATTCTTGAGAGCCCCTTGGACTACATGGAGATCAAACCAGTCCATCCTAAAGGAAATCAATCCTGACTATTCACTGGAAGGACTGATGCTGAGGCTGAAACTCCAATAGTTAGTCCACCTGATGCAAAGAACTGACTCATTGGAAAAGACCCTGATACTGGCAAAGATTGAAGGCAGGAGGAGAAGGGGACGACAGAGGATCAGATGGTTGGATGGCATCACCGACTCTGTGGATGTGAACTTCAGTGAACTCCAGGAGTTGGTGATGGCCAGGGAGGCCTGGCGTGCTGCAGTCCATGGGGTTGCAAAGAGTCAGACATGACTGAGCGATTGAAATGAACTGAACTGATCTGAGGTGACTTTATGACAGCCTGGCAGGAATTAAGGCCTGCTGGCAAAGTATTTCTCCCAGGAATATTTTTATACACAGAAGAATGAACAATGGGAACTCAGCTTAGATAGTTTATGGAAGGACATAGGTCAGTGGTATCGGGACATGTGTAGACAACACAAGAGTGGCTGCTTAGGGATTGGGTGCTATCAGTGGTGATGTTCACAATGGTCATGGCCTAGGCACTTGGAAGCCAGGGGCCCCCAAGATTCCACGAACCCCTCCCCCTACCAGTTCTGTTATGGCAACTCCAGATGGTCACCTAGCACGCTGGGTCCCCCTCCTTCACTCCTGTCTTAGTCTGAGCCCCACACAGCACCTGTGGCTCTGAGCTCTGGCATCTTCAACTTCTTTTTGTGGTTGAGAACCCTCTAGTTGTTCCCAATAGTAAATCAGGAAATCCAGTTTGTGTCATCCCTTGGTGCTGGTGAAACCAATGTGACGCTGCTTGTTTGACTCCCCCATATACTGCGAGTCTCCTCCCCACCCCTGGCTTCTACCTCTCCCACCACATGTCACCATGGCAGAGTGTCTTCCCTCTTTATTGGATCTGAGGGCAGAACGTACCCTCGCAGAAATCAACCAGGAGCTTCGGTTGCAGCTGGAAAAGTACAAGCAGGACTTCAGAGACCTCACAGAGAAATTCCTCATATCCCAAGCGACTGCTTACTCCCTGGCCAACCATCTGCAGAAATACAGTAAGTCCTTGGGGTCATGGTCACCAAAGCAGTGAATGATCAGTGTCTTCCATCTAAGAAACCAAGTCTCCCATATTGGTCTCCTTTTCCCTTTGTCATTTTGAATTCCATTCTGACCACAGTGCAGGAAAGGTAGTAGTGTGGCTCTTTTGCCTTCAGTTCCCTGAGGCTGGGAAAACTGAGGCACAAGAAGTGGAGGCACTTTTTCAAGTTTTTAGTGATGTGTAGGGTGAGATTCGAGTTAAAGTTCCAGACAGTGATTCCGGGTGCCGGCACAAGATTGCCTGTGTCTCTCAGCTGCAAACTAAGCTGTGTTGACTGGAATCTTTTCTGCTCTGTATCTGATCCTGCATGCCTCTTGGCTAAACCTCTGGGACTAATGAACTCCATTGGTTTGAGGTTCCCTGAGGTTCCATTGGCAAAGCCCTGTGCTATTTGCACTGGTGTAACGCCTGGTTAACACACTGTGAGAAGCAGGGGATATGATTTAAAGGAGCTTAAGGATGAGTCTGCTTCTCACTGAAACCATGGTCTCTGTGAGGCCATCAAGACAGGGACTCCGTGGTGAGAAGGAAGTCATGCTTTCTGAGTGTGCAGGTTCTCCTTTCTGAGTCCAAGAAAGCCATGTGACTCTGTGGCAAGAATGAAGGTGTTTGTTGTTAATTAGAGAATCTGCACTTTCCCCTCTCTCCCCACTTGAGCTGGTGAAACTTTGGTGACTCAGGTTGACCAGGAGTCCGGGGGACCCTGAGTCTATGCTATAAGATCTGTGACCAACATGAGGATGATGGTAAGTGGGGGCAGATCACCAGCCCCAGTAAAAACCCAACAGAGTGTGAGGAGGCCCTTTGCGCCCACAGTCAGCCGGCAATTGGAATCATTTTTGCCTGTTCAGTAAGAGGGGCCTGGAGTAAGGAAAGAAATCATGACCAGGGTACTTGCACAACAAGGGGATGAGCAGAATCTTGACAACCTGTGTCTGTGTCACTTTCCTACAGTCATTTTCAGTGAAGCGATGAGGGAGTCAATGAAAAATGACTGACACAGAGAGCCATAAGTGGTAAAGCCTACTATTTAAGAAAGTGAAATGATGAGCTTTGGGGAAAGGACAAACTAAGTTTTATTTACACCGCTCCTTGTAATAGTCACAAAAGTCTAGGAAAGAAATTGGGAGGCTGGTGAAGAAGAAATGTCTCACCAGGACTCTGGTGGGAGGTCACCGCAGCACAGTGTGAAAGACATGGACTCTGGGCCAGGCTTCCTGGGCTCACATCCCTGTTGGGAACCTTTCTGTGTCTCGGTTTCCTCCTCTGCCCGTGTGGTGCTGTAATAGTAACTCTTGTTTGAGTTGTAGTGAAGACTGAGTAAATCTGACAAAGCCCTGACAGCAGTGCCTGGCTGAGTGTAAATACACTTAGTTCACAGTTCTACTGTTCCTAATGACACAGGCTTCCTCAGGGTTTGGGCCTATCTCTTTCAGGTCCTTATGGTTTCACGTATTCTATTTCACACCAGTGTGTCCAGGTGAGGTTTATACTTGAGACACTCGTTCGGTACTGAGATCCCAGCATGAGGAGACTGGAGAAGGAGTTGCATCCACCACTGAGGTGGCCCATCCTCCTCCCTTGAAGGCAGTGACCACAGCAGCAATGCTGGCTTTCCCTGAGGCACTGTCTCTCTTTCCGCAGAGTGTGACGCATGTAAGGACATCGTTGAATCCGTGCTGGGGGAGAAGCTGCCGGGTGAGGCGCGGAGGCCAGCAGAGAAGCTGGCAGAGAAGCCAACGCTTGACGAAAGGTTGAGGTAAGGAGGGCAGGGATGTTCACGGCAGACACAGGGCACACTATGATAAAATAGGTGCAGAACACCAGGTGGTGAATTATGGACTCCAGTTGCTATTCAGGAGGTAATTTACTTTGCTTTTAAATAAACTAGTGACTTGAATCTCATCAGGAAACTCACTACATTCAAGTGGACCAGTGGCACTTAGCTCATTGACAGTGTTGTGCCATCGGCACCTTATTTGCCTTTAAATCACAACCGCCTCCTGACTGACTGCATCCTGGAATGCTTTCTTGACCCTGTCATTCTTCTGTTCTTCCCAGTTCACACTAGCAATACGTGTCCACATTCTCTATCTGGCTGTGTGTCCTTCACTGGACAGTACTTTGTGTTGCCACATTAAAAATACAGACAATAAAAAAATAAAATAAAATAAAAGTACAGGAAATATTTTGTGTATTTTTTAATGAAAATGGGCATGGCTGAGTGAGGAACTGAAGAGACATCTTCATGATGCAGATTTAGGAAGACATTGATGCATGCATATGCACTCAGTAGTGTCTGACTCTTTACGACCCCATGGACTGTAGCCCACCAGGCTCCTCTGTCCATGAAGGTTCCAGGCAAGAATACTGGAATGGGTTTCCATTTCCTTCTCCAGGGAATGTTCCCGACTCAGGGATCAAACCTGCATCTCTTGTGTTTCCTGAATTGTCAGTCACGTTCTTTACCAGCTGAGACACCAGGGAAGCCATTAGCTTACCTTTACAGAAGGACAAGATGAATGGAATGGCACGGAATCTTACAGGAGTACTGTCTGATACAGAGGAAACCTTTGTCTCCCTTCTTTCTCTTTGACATAGGCCAGTCATCAGATATGGAGGAGGAAATGGCAACCCACTCCAGTTTTCTTGCCAGGATAAGCCAATGGGCAGAAGAAACTGGTGCACTATACTCCATTTGATCGCAAGAGTCGGACACAACTGAGTGACCGAGCCAGTCATCAGATATGTGCCGGAATTCTGTTTCGAGGTCTCCTTGGGGATGTTCTCACAGAAATCCCTAACCGTCTTTCATCTAACTCTTTGCCTTTTACAATTGTGTCTTCTGTTCCACCTAGAACATGTGACATCCTAATTCGAAGTCAGGCACGAGAGCTGACCCAGCTACGGCAGACACTACAGAACGGGAAAGATGACTCTGCCCTGCTCAAGCAGCACCTCAAGGACCTCCTCACCCACAGTGACCTGGACAAGCACCAGAGACAGGGCTTCCGAGAGAGCCTGTCTGAGGGATACCGCTTGGCAGAGCGCCTTGCCTGCAAGCTCAGCCCAGGTGAGGGGGCCACAGACCCTGAGAGCACTGATCCTCTGCTAGTTCCCCAGGTGATAAGATGAACACCTCCACTAGGAATGTTTATCAGCTTTCCTGTTTCATATCCTATTTGGGGCTATGTAGGAGCAGGATTGTCTTAGTAAGAGGACAGAGGAGAAATGCACAGGGTGGAGGCCATCGTATCCCAACGGTCTGCTTCCTCCCTGATGGACCATGGCCGCTGGGGCAGGAGGCGACATCCAGCCAGCATTGAAGCGCAGAAAGGAGGAGGTGACAGGCAGCTTGGTAGAGTGAATAGAGCCCTCGATGAAGCTTGGAAATTCCCAGGTTCCAGGCTGAGTGCTGTGTTGATAACTGTGTGAGAATGATTGCTTTTCCTTATGTTAGTAACTGTTCTCATCTGTAAATTGGATGAAATAATCTGTTGATGGTAGCTCTAGTGATGAAATTTGGGAATATTTACAAATACACTGCAGAAAAGAGAAAACCCTTCACTTTGTGGTGTTGGATAAGGTACTTGATAGAGTTGGACTTGGTGTTGGGAAAATGGTTTAAACTGGAGCACTCACTTTCCATGGAGAGTTTCCCAGATAACACACAAAAGCTACCTGAAAGAGCCAGGATGTTCCCAGATGGAGGGATGTGGGACATGGTTATTCTCCTTAGAGAAAGAAGGGCATCTTGTGAGACCTGAAAAGCTTTATGGAGCCTGTGTCTTTGGCAGAATTTGTGGCAGGATGATGATACATTTGTAGAAGTGGAGATGGGAGGTGGACAATGTGAGGTGATATAAGGAAGAAAAGGCAATTTAGATGTTTGCCCAATTTCAAGCAGAAGGTGTCCTGAGGATGATCTACCAGTTTAGGAACAGACTAGACTGCCTGTTGGATCAGAAATCCATGCTTGGGCAGTTGTTTAAAGACAATGCATGAAAACTCCCGTACAGTACTGACTCACACATAAGATATTTATGACTCTGTGACCCCGAGTCCCTGTGCCTGTAGTGGGTGAAGGGACTAAAAGCTGACTGGGTATTTCTGATTCTGTTTGAAGAAATCGATGAAGATGAAGATGACGAACAAGCACAAGAAACACCAACCCCCAGGTAACGGTTATCTATCAGTTCAGTTCAGTCCCTCAGTCGTGTCCGACTCTTTGTGACCCCGTGGACCGCATCCCACCAGGCCTCCCTGTCCATCACCAACTCCCGGAGTCTGAAACTTAGGTTTATTGACTGACTCAGTGTTGCCATCCAACCATGTCATCCTCGGTCGTCCCCTTCTCCTCCCGACTTCAATCTCTCCCAGCATCAGGGTGTTTTCCAATGAGTTGGATCTCCGTATCAGGTGGCCAAAGTATTGGAGTTTCAGCTTCAACATCAGTCCTTCCAGTGAATCTTTAGGACTGATTTCCTTTGGGATGGACTGGTTGGATCTCCTTGCAGTCCAAGGGACTCTCAAGAGTCTTCTCCAACACCACAGTTCAAAAGCATCAATTTTTCAGTGCTCGGCTCTCTTTATAGTCCAACTCTCACATCCATACATGACCACTGGAAAAACCATAGCCTTGACTACATGGACATTTATTGGCAAAGTAATGTCTCTGCTTTTCAATATGCTATCTAGTTTGGTCATAACTTTTCTTCCAAGGAGTGTCTTTTCATTGCACGGCTGCAGTCACCATCTGCAGAGATTTTGGAACCCCCCAGAATAAGTCTGCCACTGTTTCCTCTGTCTCCCAATCTCTTTGCCATGAAGTGACGGGACCAGATGCCATGGCCTTAGTTTTCTGAACGTTGAGCTTTAGCCTACTTTTTCACTCTCCTCTTTTACTTTCATCAAGAAGCTCTTCAGTTCTTCGCTTTCTGCCATAAGGGTGGTGTTATCTGCATATCTGAGGTTGTTGATATTTCTCCTGGCAATCTTGATTCCAGCTTGTGCTTCATTCAGCCCAGCATTTCTCATGATCTATTCTGCATGTAAGTTAAATACGGAGGGTGACAATATACAGCCTTGATATACTTCTTTTCCTCTTTGGAACCTGTCCATTGTTGCATGTCCAGTTCTAACTGTTGCTTCCTGACCTGCATACAGATTTCTCAAGAGACAGGTCGGGTTGTCTGGTATTCCCATCTCTTTCAAAATTTTCCACAATTTGTGGTGATGCACACAGTCAAACAGAGAAGGCAATGGCACCCCACTCCAGTACTCTTGCCTGGAAAATCGCATGGATGGAGGAGCCTGGTAGGCTGCAGTCCATGGGGTCGCTAAGAGTCAGACATGACTGAGCAACTTGATTTTCACTTTTCTCCTTCATGCATTGGAGAAGGAAATGGCAACCCACTCCAGTGTTCTTGCCTGGAGAATCCCAGGGATCGGGGAGCCTGGTGGGCTGACATCTATGGGGTCCCACAGAGTCTGACACAACTGAAGTCTGACACAGTCAAAGACTTTGGCATAGTCAATAAAACATGAGTAGGTGGTTTTTTTGGGGGGAAGTCTCTTGCTTTTTCATTGATCCAACGGATGTTGGCAATTTGGTCTCTGGGTCCTCTGCCTTTTATAAAACCAGCTTGAACATCTGGAAGTTCATGGTTCAGGTATTGTTGAAGCCTGGCTAGGAGAATTTAGAGCATTACTTTACCAGCAATGTGAGATGAGTGCAATTGTGCCATATTTGAGCATTCTTTGGCATTGCCTTTCTTTGGGACTGGGATGAAAACTGACCTTTTCCAGTCCTGTGGCCACTGCTGAGTTTTGCAAATTTGCTGGCATCTTGAGTGCAGCACCTTCACAGCATTATCTTTTCGGATTTTAAATAGCTCACCTGGAATTCCATCACCTCTACTAGCTTTGTTTGCAGTGATGCTTCCTAATGCCCACTTGACTTCACATTCCAGGATGTCCGGCTCTAGGTGAGTGATCACACCGTCATGGTTATCTGGATCATGAAAATCTTTTCTATATAGTTGTTCTGTGTATTATTGTCACCTCTTCTTCATGTCTTCTGCTCTGTGAGATCCATATCATTCCTGTCCTTTATTGAGCCCATCTTTGCATGAAATATTCCCATAGTATCTCCCATTTTCTTGAGGAGATCTCTAGTCTTTCCCATTCTATTGTTTTCCTCTGTTTCTTTGCACTGATCACTGAGGAAGGCTTTCTTATCTCTCCTTGCTATTCTTTGGAACTCTGCATTCAAATGGGAATATCTTTCCTTTTCTCCTTTGCTTTTCACTTCTCTCCTTTTCACAGCTCTTTGTACTGCCTCCTCAGACAGCAATTTTGCCTTTTTGCATTTCTTTTTCTTGGGGATGGTCTTGATCTCTGTCTCCTGTACAATGTCGTGAACCGTCGTCCATAGTTCATCAGGCACTCTATCAGATCAGTCCCTTAAACCTGCTTCTCACCTCCACTGTTTAGTCATAAGGGATTTGATTTAGGTCATACCTGAATGGTCTAGTGGTTTTCCCTACTTGCTTCAATTTAAGTCTGAATTTCGCAGTAAGGAGTTCATGATCTGAGCCACAGTCAGCTCCCGGTCTTCCTTTTGCTGACTGTATGGAACTTCTCCACCTTTGGCTGCAAAGAATGTAATCCATCTGATTTTGGTGTTGACCACCTGGTGATGTCCATGTGTAGAGTTTTCTCTTGTGTTGTTGGATTTGGGTGTTTGCTATGACCAGTGCGTTCTCTTGGCAAAACTCTATTAGCCTTTGCCCTGCTTCATTCTGTACTCCAAGGCCAGATTTGCCTGTTGCTCCAGGTGTTTCTTGACTTCCTACTTTTGCATTCCAGTCCCCTATAATGAAAAGGACACCTTTCATGGGTGTTAGTTCTCGAAGGTCCTGTAGATCTTCATAGAATTGTTCCACTGCAGCTTCTTCAGCATTACTGGTCAAGGCATAGATTAGGATTCCTGGGATATTGAATGCTTTGCCTTGGAAACAAACAGAGATCATTCTGTTGTTTTTGAGATTTTATCCAAGTACTGCATTTCGGACTCTTTTGTTTACTATGATGGCTACTCCATTTCTTCTAAGGGATTCTTGCCCACAGTAGTAGATATAACAGTCATCTGAGTTAAGTTCACCCATTCCAGTCCATTTTAGGTCGCTGATTACTAGGATATCAACGTTCACTCTTGCCATCTCCTGTTTGACCACTCCCAATTTGCCTTGAAACATGGACCTAACATTCCAGGTTCCTATGCAGTATTGCTCTTTACAGCATCGGACCTTGCTTCCATCATCAGTCACATCCACAACTGGCTGTTGTCTTTGCTCTGGCTCCATCTCTTCATTCTTTCAGGAAATATTTCTCCAGGGTTCGAAGCCACATCTCTGCATTGGCAGGAGCCACTCAGCCTCCTGAGCCACCGGGGAAGCCCTGATTCACTTGACTACTTCATCTTAAATTCAACATGGCTTAGGACCTGTGGGGAAGCACTTGGTGTGGAAGTTCATCTGTGCTTCCTGTTCCTGAAAGTACCATCCTGGGATGGTTGAGGCTCCTTCCTCATCAGAGCTTTGTGGCCAGTCTGTTGGGTACCTGCTTGACCCCCCTTCCCATCCCCAGACAGACACACTCCACTTCATATAAGAGAGGACAGTTCCTTTTGTCTTGAAGGGGCCTGCTCTTGTACTCTCGGTGACCACTCGCCATGCCTCCTGTCAAATCCAGCCAGCATGGCTTGGGGTCAGATCTTCTTCATTTAATTTTCTGTCATTCCTTTCCCATCTGGCACAGCATGGAGCTGCAGGAGGTTGAAAAGAAGGAAGTGCATGAAGAATCCAAGGATGAATGTGTTTTGATGCCTTCAATTCTCCAAGGAATTTCTGATAAGCACCAGCCTTACAGGGATGACAAATTTAACTCTAATGAACTGGAAGTAGACGTTGATCTGGATGGACCATGTGGTTGCGGTCATGCTAAAGATGAAATTCCAACCAATATCTCAGGTAGCCCCCATATTATTTCTCCCCACAAGCTGTGTAGACCAAGGAAGGTCATCACTTAGGACAGGTTGTATAGACACATCTTAGTCGAAAGCAGGGAAAAAGCTCTATTATGGAACAGAGATATCAGGTGGGTCAGGGAGCTTTCATTCTTTTCTTGGCTCCGGGCTTGCCTCTGTCACCCTGACCCCAGTGTCAGGCATTTGACCCAAATCAGTTTTGACAACTCTCACCCACCTCAGCTGGAAATCCACAGGAGGTATCTGTCAGAAGGAGTTTGGAGCCAGTGTATTGTTACTTGCAGTGATCTAATTTTTGTAAATGTTCCTGGCCTCCCCAGAAATGATGACGGACTTGCCTCTTTATAAGGAGAGGTGATTTCCAGGTTTTGTTTTAACGCTCTCAACCCCAGGCCCCCTTTTCTCGATGTTGGCAGGTCTTAGCTAAGATGTTATCTGACACCTAGACAGACACAACCGAACCATAGCCTCGCTTGGATGTTGAAGCACGGCTGGGCTCTGGCAGTTCCTCTAGCTTCAAAGGGCCATGGTTTCTGTGTAGCACCAAAGATTCTTTTTGATTTGAGGGTTACTACAATTCACTGTGCTATCCTGGTGGCTCAGATGGTAAAGAATCTGTCCGCAATGCAGGGGACCCAGCTTCAATCCCTGTGTCATGCAGATCCTCTGGACAAGAGAATGGCACCCACTCTAGTATTCTTCTGTGGAGAATTCCATGGCCAGAGGAGGCTGGTGGGCTGTACTCCATGCGGTCACAAAGAGACGGATTCTACTGAGCGGCTAACGCTTTCACAATTCACCCATCACTCTACTCCCAAGTATAAATTCCTCTAAACCGTCAACAACCACATAATCTGATGGGACTAAGCAGTACTATAGAAATAATTCTAGAAAATAACTCAGCTCATGTTCCAGCATCTCTGTGGAAAATACGTTTTTAACTGCTTATGCAGACTCAGAACAAAGGATGTTGGGAGAGATACCAGATCAAGAAGCAAATTTCCTCAATGGCTCTGGAAGCAGTCCAGTCTAATTCTCACAAGACTTAAGTGTCCTAGAATAACTTTGCTAAAGAAGTATGTTCTTACAATGAGAATATTAAAGTCCTTGATTTATATGTCATTACTGAGTAGATATGTGTGAGGTCTGATTTTCTTATTATGACTGGCTGTCTCTGAATTTCTTACTAGAGAATGAAAATTATCACAAGCAAGTGAGTGGACAAGAGCTCACATTTCCCAGGTAATTTGAAGATCTGTGGGCTGTGAATGTCAGTGGTGACAGCAGGAGACGTCAGATCCAGAGAAAAATAGAAAGTAGTCTATGTAAATCTTTCATCTATTCATTCAACAGCAATTATCTCTTTAACAACGTTGTCTACTTATGTTTCACAAGTTTGTGGATTTCAATTTTTAATCCTTCAAGTTTAGTAATGTACAGTGAGTTGACCCAGGTGAAATAACCAAACCTAGGAGTTCCTGTGTTCATGTGCTTTCTCCTGAGTGGTTAATGTAGGGTGAGATCCTATGGTCTTACACTGGTTTGGCATCAGCATATTGGCAAATATTGGATTTCAGGGGAAGAAAATAGAAAGATATTCATATTACAACAAAATATTGAAAAAAGAGTTCTTGAAGGCAGAATATCTGGTCTATAACTCCTTTTTCTTCAACTCTGAAAAAGTGATTTGGAATGTATATTTGTGCAAATTAAATTTTTTATATTGAATGGAATAGAGCCTAAACACAAACAAATTTTTAACAGCTGTGTTCACTTGGACACAGGATATCCAGATCAACACAATGTGAGCACATAAGTTTGAACTGCTGTCTCAGTCCTATGTGCATGCTAGGGGTCATGACGTTAGCATGCAGGGAACATTCCATCTCCTACTTCAACCACCGGTGCTGTGTCCAGTTCCCGGAAAACCTGCTGTCTCTCTCCCACTCCAGGGCAGCCACACTCTGCTCCACATTAGGAGGAGTTACTTCCCTCCTTAAGGGGGCTGCCCTTTTGCTTTCTGTGACCACTCTCAATGCCTGTCATCAAAACCAGCCAGATAGCTTGGAGTCGAGTCCTCTTAATCTTCTGTCCTCCCTTCTCCATCTGACACAGTGTGAACGTGCAGGATGTGGAAAAGACGGTGGTGTTCCCAAAATCCCAGGATGAATGTGTTTCAGTAGCTTCCACTCCCCAGGAAGGCTTTGCCTGCAACCAGCCTTATAATGATGGGAAAGTTGCATTTGATGAAGAGAATGTGAAGTCTGCCGTGGATGGAACCTGTCGTTGCTCTCATGCTGAAGAGGATGAAATTCCAACTGGTCTCACAGGTAGTCTTCATTACATCTGTTAGTCTACTCCTAGAGAATTAATCCCCTTTAATAGACCCTATGCTTACATCCTGAGGCCTGGTTTGAACCAGACTCTATTATTCCATTTAAAATAAGACATTCTATGAAAGAACTTTTCTAAGTTCACTGTCATGGGTGTCCCTGTAGTAAACCACTCTACGCAAGGTGATCCATCCAGACTCATGTGAACCTCAGCAGCTGTGGCACAGGAGGTACCGTTCAGGCTTCCTGATTTTGAGTGAACCTCTTATCTCACATGAAATGCTTTAATTTTCATTTCTGGGTAATGTCCCTGAGTTCCTACACCTGGCCAGGGCTTTTGGCAAGGTATAACTTTGGAGATGTCACTACTTTGGTTCACTCCTATCAACCCATAGGCTCTCTCTTTTCCTTTGACTTATCTTGTTCAAAGTCCTCTGAAACCAGAAGGTAAGGCACACTGTCATGTTTTGGTATGTTTCTCGGAGCTAAGGCAGGGCCCTGGAACTTTCTGACCTGATGAATGGCCACTGTTTCCAGCTTTGAGATTCATTTCACTTGATGGTGTATGGATTCCACTTCCATTTAATCTCAGTGTGTAATCACTAATGCCATTAATAAACAACATTTCAGATGGAAAAAGCCTGTAGCAGGCTGAGGATGTAGCAAATTTGTTTCCCAGGAACTGTGGGGAAAAGTATTTATTTAGCTGTTTCCACAGACTCATGACCAGGATACTCTTCCAGTGACATAGGATATCAAGGAAATTTGCCCAATGGCTCAAGAAGGAAACCCAGTGCCTTCTTCTGAGGCTCTTTCTAGGGCCTCCTGGATGATTTCTGTCTCAATAGCCTGTTACCACATTGTGAACATTGGCACAGGACTGGGAATTTTTGAAAGGCATTTGCCTGATGTCAATCTCCTGTTAATTTATTTGCAGAAAAGCAGAATGATCATGATGACCGGAAAGGACCAGAGGTGGTTGCCCCGAGGTAATTTTGAATATCTGTGGGCTCTTTCTACAGTGATGACATCTGCAGAACCCGATCCAGGGAAAAACAGAAAGTGCTGCATATATTGTGTCGTCAGTTTTGCCCACCATTATTCTCCTTTTTCATAATGATCTCTGCTTTCACTGTGGTACTTCTACTATTTCCCGTTTCTTCTTTACTTGTCAAGTTTAAAACCCAAATCAGTTGACCCAGGTGAACTAAGTCAGAGTGATTCTTTTGCACTCAATCTTTATATCAGGTGTGGTTTACAGAGTGAGATGCGTATCTGCTTTCTGTTTGGTGTCAGCATGCTGGCGTGTGTGTTATAGTAATGTCAATGCAACGTAAATGGAAGTGTGAAAGCCAGTGTTCTGTGTCCCTGTGTGTGAGGCATGACTGCACCACCAGAGAGAATTCAGTCTGTTCATCAGCCTGTTCTTTGGCCAGAGCACTGAACCCCTACTGCTCTTTCTCTCTTCTGCCCCTGGGAAACCACGCTTTGTCTCACATAGAAAACAGACTTTTCTCTCTCTGATGGATGAGACCCTTGGCGTGCTTCACCACTCAAACATTCCATCAGAACCAGATAGAACTGTACAGTTTCTGATCAGTCTTGGCTTAATCTTTTGCCCTCCCTCCCCCACCAGGTACAGCAGACAGATGCCACAGATGGGAGAATATGGTGTCCCGCAGAACTCTCTGGATGACTATTATCTGACTTACTCGGGTCTTCCTAGCCTGTCAGACTCCTTCTGGCCTTATAGGAGCACAGCCATCTTCTCACCTGAGGACCTGGATGTCTCCTATGCTCGGGATGTAACCGGTGAGTATTTTCTTGCGATAGAACTCCACCTGGATATCGAGGTAGACTCTGTGTGCTTCATACTCCTCGCCTCTGGGGTGCTGAGATTTCTCATCCCTGTTGGAAGTTCTGTAGACAGTGATTTGAATCAGACTCTGTGGTAGAGTTTTAAGTACAGACATCAGGTGGGTCTGGGAGCTGTGCTGTCTTCTTCATTCAGGTGAAGCCTACGGGTCAGGCCCCAAGTTAGATTACAGACCCAAGGCTGGTGTGAAACACTCACTTGTGTGTGTGCAGGTGTCCGGAGATGACTGTATTTTTTCCTGATTCCTATGCAATGTCTCTTCTTGCCCACAAGGCTCCCATTTTCATACCCAAAGTGTCCCTTGAATTTCTGCGCCATTCCAAAGGTGCTCAGAGCCTTCATTATTTGTTGCTCCCTGGTGTCACTGCTGTCATCCCCAGTGTTTGCTTCTCTAAATTGCTTGTCTTAGCAAACCAATCATCTGGGTCCCAGGAGGCAAAGAGCTCTCCCATCACCTTGCGTGTGTGTTTCATGAAGCAAGGCATAGCCCTGGCATTTTCCCGCCCCATGAATGACTGAAGGGTCCGTGTAACAACTAGGATTCATGTGGTTCGATGTTTTGTTCATTCCACTCATCGTTCTTGTAAAGCAGTCAGCATATGATGAGAAAATCCTGAGTATTACAGTATTCTGCAAGAATGCTGTGGGCTATTCCCCAGACTCTGTGGGGAAGATGAATCTTAAACTTTTACTGCAACTTGGAAGACAATACTGTGGTGAAGATCTACCAGGGAAGGGAGATCTTGCCTGATGGCTCAGGAAAGTAAACCAAGGAGAGTCTGAGAGATCCAACCTGAGGCATCTGGAGTATCCTTCTTAAATAGCCTGTCATCTCGTTGCTGATATAAATGTCCCCATGGCAGTATCAGACACTAGATTATTAATTTACATGATGAGATCTGCTAAATGTTTCTCAACTTGTCTGAATTTATCCTTAGAAAATCTTGCTGATCTTGAGGACGAGGAAAATCAAGACATCATCTCTTCTAGGTAACTATGGAGAAACATGGGTCTGGCATCAGTGGTGACATTTGGTCATCTGACATGCAGGGGAATCAGAAACTGCTGAACATGCCTAATTCTTCCATTCACACCACCACAAATTGTCCCTGAAACAAAGTTGTCTGTTTTCACCCTTTATGAATCCCTCTCAATTATAGTAACTTGTAGTCAGTTGAAGCAGGGCTACTGATCAGCACAGGATTTCTTACAGTCCTTTGACCTCTCCTTTTTATTAAAACCAGCATGCCATACTTATCTGCCTCTGTCTTTGGTCTTAAGACATTGGCATGAATTTCGTGGCAAGCAAAGTAACTAGGAAAAAACATTCATGTCCCATCGCAGTATTAGAAAAATTGGTCTTGTAGACACAAGATTTCTAGGAGTCCATTATGCTGCCAGAGCTGGTATTCATGTGAATGCAGCATGTAAATCTCAACAAAATGTACGGTGCATTTGAAGCTGATTTATGTTCTGAGGGTGTGTGTGACATGACTGTGTGTCCTGGTGTGGCTCCTCTCCTTCCTCCTGAACTCATTTCTTCTCTGTGCTCAGAGAATCTCATGCTCACTCTCCCTCACTGTTTCCCTTTCGCTTTGCAAGCACCTACAGGCAACAGATGGGGCTTGTGGGTGGGGGGATTGTTAGGCCTCCCTTTAAGGGGACTCTCCATTTGTTTTTCCCAACGTGTCCCTTAACCCTCCCCTCAAAACCAGCTATGGCTCCAGGTTGACTCATCCCTCTTGTTTCACCATCTGCTCTCCCAACCCCACAAATCTCAGTATGGAGCAGCTGGTGGTAGAAGAGAATGAAATCCAGCCGGACTCACTGGATGAATGTTATCTGGCTTCTTCTATTGGCCATCATCTGGAAGGCTCCTGTCATTCTTCTAGGAGTGTCTCCTTCCCAACAGAGAAGAGAGAAATTTTCTTGGCTCTAGATGTAAACGGTGAGTACTCCCATGCAGGCTCTTAGGCTCGGGTCGATCAGAACTATGTTCTCAGTTTGAACTTTTAAAAGGCATCACGAGCCTTTGCATTCTTCTTGCCCTGGGCTGCCCTCTGTCACCTGAACTCATCTCAGCAGCACAGGCTTGTGGTATCAAGTCAGACCAGAGAGGGCAAGTGGAGGGATAAGGGCAGAATCTCAGCTACCACTGTCTCACCTGCAGGAATTTGTGTAACAGAGCTCTTTTTATCAAGAGAAGAATCCTTATAGTCATGAAATTTTGTTGCTAATTTTATTCCTTGAATAGTTTCTGGCAAGCTCTCTGGCTTTGGATTCCTGATTGCAATCTGCTCCATATTTGTAATGCATGTTATATTGTTGCCCAACTCCAGATTCTTACCCCTTTGCTGCCTACCTCCCTCTGAAGCATTTAGATACTAGATCCTAAGCATCAAATCTGCAGATGCCCTGTCATTTCCGTGAATCCAAATATCTGTCTCTGTTGTTCCAGCCTCTAGAAACACCCTTGTGTTTCATCCTTTGTGCAGCAAAAAGGAGTTTTCCATGTGTGGGTTATAATTTCAATGTTTTAAGCAATCTCAGTGGTATAATCTCATGGAAACTATCCATAACATGTGTATCTGATGGGGGTATTGACCTAATTTATGGGCCAGGTCCACTTGGGTGGCAGTTCATAGGGTGTGGAAATGAAAACCTAGTATGAAATCCTTCTTGGGCTATTGTTTTGACTTTTTCTTTACGAGAAGCGTTCTTATTATGAGGACTTTGATAAGTAACATCATCTTGATAAAGCAGAAGAAACTCCATTATATATCAGATTTTAATCTGACTCCTTTTAAAATGATATTGGGCATATAAAAGTTGTCCATCAATCAGTTGTTTCCTTTTCACCTTGGAAGCAGTTTCTTTCTTATTTCTCATTCTTCCCTGAGGAGCAGAGAAGCAAAGGCTTTCTCAGGATCACAGTAGTTCACAAACCAGAAAGGGAACACACAGTTATTGTGCACCTGCTGTCCACATGCTCCTTCCTAAGCAAGCTCCTAGTGCACTATAAGCCCTTCAGCCCTCCCAGGCACCCTCTCAGTTAGCTGTGGTTTCTCATGGCGGAGCCGAGGGCACTGAGGATCAGCAGGTCCCTTCACTGGGCCCAGACTCCTGGCCACTGGCACGTGGGACACTGACCTCTCCTGGGCCTCACTGCCTGGCTCAGGCTGTGTCCTGTCCTCTCAGCAGTCGGACCATCAGTGACTCAGAGAGGATGTTGGTCACGTTTTTCTCTTTGCCCTAACCAAATGATTGGCAACTATCTTAATCTTCAGCAGAAAGTTGCCAGAGGGCTGCAGAGAACCCCTGTGGTCCCTCACTCAGAGCTGCCAGCTCCCAGTCCCTGTGTGCACTGTGTCCCAAGGGCAGAGCTGGCGGCTCCCCGGCCCCTCCAGGTGGAGCCACAGCTCCACGGGGCTCTCTCTGGGGATCAGCCAGGGTGAGAGTCCACGCCGCTCCCCACTCCTGCCCCCAGGTCACCTGCTGTCACGACGGGTCCAGGTAGGCCTTGAATTTGGCTGTGCTGAAGCCATTGAAAACTGTGGAGCTCTATCTCAGAAACACTGACCGCTGGGTGTGGGTTCCCGTGAAGAGGATGAGTGAGGCTCAGACACGTGACTCAGATCTGTGTCTGAGATGTTTGTGAGTGTGTGATATGGCCCAGTCCTGGGAGTCCATGGTTCACACTGGGCCAGGAAAGGCCAAATCCCCACAGATGGATTGAGATGAATGATTAGAATATCTCACTACACCGGATCCATCCTGCGTCTGGGTTCGCATGGTAACCTGAGAACAGTGTGAATAGCTATTATGGAGCCATTCGGATATCAGTAGTCAGGTGTACCCCGTCCTCTCTGTACAAGGAGAAACCCTGCAGAAACAACACAAACACTTGATTTTTAAATTACATCTTGATCTTCTATTGGAGGCTCTTCCCCACACTAACAATACTGGGCAGTATTGTTGATGATTGATAAAATATTTGGTTATTATATATTCTGACAATGCAAAGAATATTCAAAGCATAGGTTTAATAAAACCCATTCGCAAGAGGGGCAAATAACATTGGATGATGAAATTACACAATGCTAATTAAAAACAATCCCAGACATCGATTTATAATAACATTGGAGAACAAGGGGATACATAGTTTTGACAGTTCTTTCAAACACCAAATTTGTTGATATACAAGGATTTAGTCTTCATCCCAATGTGAATTATCATAAAATCTGAAGAAGTGTCCAGAAACATGATGATTAATGTTTAATGAAGTTTGCCTGGTGGAAATATGAAGGGCACACCAGACTGAGAGAAGTGGTTTTGGAAAAAGCCCTGGAAGCTCACAGAGGCTCCTGGTACAGGGCTGGGGTCAGAAAGGGGCCAGCCTGAGTCCTAGGAGGATATGCAGAGGGAGTTGTGGGAAGTGATGTTGCAGACGAAAGAGGGACAGAAGACAGGAGCACTGGAAAGGCGGGTGAGGAGGTTCAATCTGTGTAGCAGGGAAGGGAGGATGAATTTCCATAAACTGAGGCACATGTGATAAAACAGGCTTGGGGGGTGATAAGCCAGGTGCCCTTTGAGAGTGTGGAGAGGACGGAATCAGAGAAAGCAGTTGGAAGGAGGTTGGATGAATCTTTGATGAGAGTCAAAGTCAGATGCTCTCTGGAACACTAAGAGGTAACAGACACATGAGAGACAGTTAGAGAAACAAACCTTGTTGAGGGTGTGGATGCATAAGGAGGTGAGAGGAGAGCCCCACAGCAATGGAGAGCAGGCCCTGGCGGCCGTGACCTCAGAGCAGCCTGACCTGCACCAGAGGAGGGTACTTCGTGCCTTTGGTTAGCCCAGGTTCTGAGAATACGTACTCATTTCGCAGTAGAAATATATAAACACATTTCATTATGAGCACTGTCAAGGCACCAGTAGAGGCACAGGTATTGAAGGAGTGTACTTATATAATCTCTTTAAAGAGACACAAAGGTGTTTCCAACAGGGTCTCAGCCCTCTCCCCTATTAGTTCTAGCTGCTAATACCATCCATCGCCATTCTGCCCCCACGTGGGAATAGATTTTATTCTATATGTACATGTACGGGTGAGTGGAAGGGTAGACAAAAGTTTCAAGCAAGGAGGTTCCAAAGGGTCTGGAATGTACTGTATTTTCCCAGCTCAAATTCTAGTAGGACCTGAAGCTTTCGGGCCATATGTCTCTTCCTGTTCTTTTACTCCTGTGAGTAGATATCAACAACTCTTTCTCCCCCATGCGTAGAGGCTTGTGTGGAACCTTCTTTCTAGGCTCCAAGACTAAGGCTAATAACAGAATAAGAGGCTTGACCTCCTGTGTCACCCAAACCCTCTTGACTCCAGTGGGTGATTTCTCATTTCAAGAAATTGCAGCCTAACACCTGCCTTCTCCGCACCCCAGTCCCAGCCATAAATATGGCGCCTTCTTCACATTGATGTCTGCCATTGTTGTCTGGGTTATTGGCTGGTTTCACTTATGGGCTAGGAGAGCAGAAATGGGCACTTTGGGAGGGCTTAGCAAGAAAAAGCGTTCATCGGTCCTACTGAACCCTCTTTTCCTTTCAGGTGACACCTGCGAGGACTCTCAGCAGGAACCTGTGAGTTTCCCAGCGTCAGAGCTGCCAACTTCACAGGCACAGCTTCAGAAAAGCACCCACGTGACCGAGTGTCTGCAGTGGCAGCTGGACCAGCATCTTGACTGCGGTGACAGCAAACCCATTCTTGGTCTTTGTTCCACCAACAGGGCCTTTACCACCAACCCTGATTCTGGAAACCAAGGACCACTCTTTCTCAGTAAGAAAGAAAAGGGGATTAGAAAGCTCTGGTCCATGTGCTGGTCATCACAAAGCTGTGGGTGGAGGAGGCAGAGGGCCTCTCCCAAACACGCTGTCGGCCCAGTTGAAACCCGTGACCCTCTACCAGAGTGAGATGATCAAGAGCCTGGGATTTAGGACCAGCTCAGCCTCAGGCCCTGGTTCTGCAAACTTCTGCTTCTTTAACTGAGCCAACTTATTCATCTTCCTAGGTATTTGCCTCTCTCGTCCCTCATCTGAATTCTTGAAAAATTCTATCTCCTTTGCATTGTTGTTGGGAATCTTCAACAATATAATGTCCAGGGCATCTGATTCGCTAAAATTTGTTTGATAACCACTATGAATATGTAATATCTAAGCACTGTGTCTTTCTGGTGCTTTAACGCTTAAAAATGATTGCACAATGGTTGTTTCCTCTATGGTAGCATAAGCTTTATGGTCTCTGCTTTCTCTAAACCTCAACTTCCCTTGCTTTCTCAGGAAGGTAGCTTGGCCAGTATTTTCCTCTCCTTTCAACATCTTTCATCAAGGCAGTTTCCTCCTGTTATGTGCTCCCATTAACAGTGTATTAGCAGCATGCAATAGGAGTGTAAACACTGGCCGTGCAACTCAGTCCCATGTTTGCTCTTCATATCCAGTTTCTTTTCCTCATTTTCCCCTCATTTTAAAATAAAGGGCTACCCTCATTCTTGAAGTTCACCCATCAGTTTCTTTTATGACACTCCCATTTAATTCATTCTCTCCACTCATCTCCTTTTCCCTCTCCTAGTCTTCCTCTCCTCTGGATCCACCTCTGTTCAAATTTCCTTCAAAGAGCTTTCAGACCCTCACATCCATTTCATCTGGGACGTATTCATCCTTACCCTCCATCACTCTCCATGTCCTCCACTGGAGCCTGGGGCTGCCTGGTGCTCCTCCCTCAGGCTGTGGCTTCCAGTGAGGATCCAGGAGAGACCCACGTCCTCAGGTGGAGCTGAGCTGAGAAGGAGCCCCCTGGCGCAGCGTGCAGAGTCTCTCGGAAAGTGCTCAGGGGGGAGGGGTGCAGAGCCTGACAAGAGCCAGTAGATCTTGTGGTGTTTGTTGTCTCCTCTTCCGCTTGTCTCTCCTTTTCCTGTTCTTGGTCTCCCCCATTCTCAGCCAAGACTGAACCCCACTGGCTCAGTCACTCTGTTTCCTGCTCACCTTCCATGGAGACCTGAGCATAAATCCAGGCTTCACAGCAGATTTTGCAGCAAAGGGTAGTCTTAATGCCCTTTGCTTTCACACCCCCTCACACTGTGACTCCCACCTGCCGCCCCATATCTCCTAGTTCCTGTCACCAAATAGAGCTTCTTTCCCATTCTTCTTATTTTTCTATTTTCGTTTCCAAATTCAACTCATCAGGAAGCCAATAGAACAATCCATTCAATAGCTCAAATCCTTCATTCATTTATTCCATCACAAACACACTCACCTGTGAGTTTTCTTCCATTTTTATCATATCATCTATGCCTTATATAAATTATGAATAAATATCATATGTAGTGTGTTTCCATATCTATGAAGTGTATATTGATGCACATTTAAAAGTTTTCCAATTTAGACTTCCCCACTTCTTTTCTCTCATGAGCTTTTCCTTCAACTTTGACTTTGCTTCATCCCTTCCCTCCCAACAGTACAAACTGCATGCTGGAGGAGTTTCTTGCCTTTGTCTTTTCTACCTAGGAATTTTTTGTTGTCATCCATTTTATTTTCCTTGGCTCATTTCTGGCATTTGGAAACACGTTTTCCCTGTGGCACCCTTAACAATACTGGGTAGTACAAGGAAGATTAGCAAAAAAGAAAATATAAAACTATCTCCACTGGCTTCACCTACCCATGGGCTTTCAGATGGCGTTTCTTGTTCCTGGACACTTTTGGTACCTGATGTCCTTCTTGGGTGAAGGAGTAAGTCTTGGTAAATCATGAATAACAATGGATCCTGTTGGCTGTGGTTTTCTCTTCAGAGCTGGATGCTTCCATCAGAATGAAGAACCCTCCCAAGCTGGAAGGTGAGGGCTCCACAGCAAGCACACATGAGCAGCCAGTCTGTAAGAAGATTAAAGGCTTAAGTGGCCTGAAACAGAAGATTCTCAGTAGAAAAGTGCTGTTTGGCAAGTGGAGACTAGCGTTCAGATTCCCTGGCCTTCAGGCTTAGGGTACAGAGGTAATCCCATGCACTTCTTCCTTATGCTCTTTATGTCTCATGGCTCAGTCTCCCACTAAGTTTTCTCTTCCTCATTTGTTCACTCAACAGCTGACACAGCTCTGTGGTCTTTCCTCTCTTTTCCGTGGGGGCTGCCACCCTGCAGTGCCCTTCCCTCTCACTCTCCTGTGTCCACTCTGACTCTACTGTTTCCGCTCTGCTACCGTCCTCATGTTCCCTCTGACCTTTCCTATCAGCCACAGGGAAGCCCAGATCCATGGTCCTTCTCATCAGAAGAGCAGCATTTAAGCCACTGAAAACATTGGCCTTCAATCACACACATTCTTGGTTTCTTCACCTGACTTTCCCCCTTGCCTCCAAGTCTACTGCCTCTTGCTTTCAGGATCATGTCTTAAGGAATCACTCACATGTGAGTTGGCTTCTGGAGAAATGCACCTAGGACAGTCCTTAACCCTCAGCTTTTCCACCGGAATAAGAAATGCCAGAACTGAAGGAAAAAGCCTTGATTACTAAAATAAAAGGAGAACCTGGGTCATAGGTGGGAGTGCTGGACTGGCCTAAGTCATGATTCCCCCCAGGCCCTGATGTGCAGAACTTGGCTAATGTGCAGGGGCTTCCAGGAACTCACTGGAGCTGGCATTAGGGGGAGGGCAGTAAATGGCTCCCTAAAGGGACCTTGGGGAAAAGGAGATAGAGAAGTCAGGTTTTCAAAATACACAGGGCGTGAGATGGACAGGGCTCAGACCTCCCCAGTTTTACTCACATTATTCCGTCTCAGTATTAGTCAAAGCCCAGAAAAATGAACTGAGTTGAAGTCTGAGGTCAGGGAATGTAGGACAGCATTATACTGAATTAACTTGGGCCACATTTATGAAGACCCAGGGAGATACACAAGAATACAAGATAATCATTGCTTCTGACCATCCAATTGAGAAGGCCAATTATATATGAGAGTAACAGAAAAAGACCAAAAAATCCTTAGGGCCAGTGGAGAGAAGTCCATATTGGACTAGAAGGAGAAAATTAAAAGAGTGATGTGAAATAGTGTAGGTCTAGCGTGTAGTTCTAAATCATGCTATTGTAAAATGAAAACGGATTGGGTTTTAAGGTAACATGAATGCCTTAACCCAGTCTATTGAAATTCTGATTTTAAAGTTCTGAGGATGAGGTTTGGATATCAGTATCTTTCAAAGCTCTGCTAATATGCATCAAGGATCAGAGGACAGTGGATCTAATAGGATATAAGTAACCAATATGGCAATGGCCTATGAGTGGCTGCTTCCTCAAAAAGCTGAAAATCAACAATGAAGGCAATTTGCATTCTTCCCTCAACAGAACTCTTTTGTACAGCCTGGAGAAGAGAAAAGAGAAAAAAAGAGATGTAGATAGTTAAGTTAAATATATAATCTCTCTGTTTGGATTCAAGTTTCTCACAATTTTCATAGTACAAGATACAATAAAACAAACAAACAAACAAATATTACAAATGCCTCAAAGTATAAAATGGACCCTCCCCTTGCCACAAGAATACAATTTACTGTTTCCTTTTCTAATGTTAAAATGCAACTTGCAGTTAACTATTCACTAAACATGTTTGACAGAGTACTAACTGGCTCAGAAGAGCAGATGCAACAAAGATTTTTCATTGAATATATTCTTTATGCAAAAACCCCATAATGAATATTAGGCTTTATCCTGCTATGTTTATCCTTTTACATACCCATCTATCAGTTCAGTTAAGTTCCTCAGTTGTCTCCAAATCTTTGCGACCCCATGGACGGCAGCACGCCAGGCTTCTCTGTTCATCACCAACTCCCAGAGCTTGCTCACATTCATGACCATTGAGTCTGTGAGGCCATCCTACCATGTCATCCTCTTTTGTCCCCTTCTCCTCCTGCCTTCAATCTTTCCCAGCATCAGGGTCTTTTCTAAGGAATCAGTTCTTCACCTCAGGTGGCCAAAGTATCGCCGTTTCAGCTTCAGCATCAGTCCTTCCAATGTATATTCAGGACTGATTTCCTTTAGGATGGACTGGTTGGATCTCCTTGCAGTCTAAGGGACTCTCAAGAATCTTCTCCAACACCATAGTTCAAAAGCATCAATTCTTTGGCACTCAGATTTCTTTATGGTCCAACGTCACATCCATACATGACTACTTGAAAAACTGTAACTTTGACGAGATGGACCTTTGTTGGCAAAGTCACATCTCTGCTTTTTAATATGCTGTCTCCGTTTATCATAACTTTTCTTCCAAAGAGTAAGTGTCTTTTAAATTCATGGCTGCAGTCACCATCTGCAGTGATTTTGGAGCCCAAGAAAATTAAGTTTGTCTCTGTTTCTATTGTTTCGCCATCTATTTGCCATGAAGTGATGGGACCAGAAGCCATGATCTTCATCTTTTTGAATGCATAGTTTAAAGCCACCCTTTTCACTCATCTCTCACTTTCATCAAGAAGCTCTTCAGTTCTTCTTTGCTTTCTGCCATAAGGGTGGTGTCATCTGCATATCTGAGGTTAATGATATTTCTTCTGGCAATCTTGATTCCAGCTGTGCTTCATCCAGCCCAGCATTTCGCATGATGTACTCTGGATTTAAGTTAAATAATCAATATGACAATATACAGCCTTGACATCCTCCTTTCTCAATTTGGAACCATTCCATGTTCCATGTCCAGTTCTAATGATGCTTCTTGAGCTGCATACAGGTTTCTCAGGAGGCAGCTAAGGTGGTCTGGTATTCCCATTTCTTTAAGTATTTTCCATAGTTTGCTGTGATCCTCACAGTCAAAAGCTTTGGCCTAGTCAAGAAAGCAGAAGTAGGTGTTTTTCTATACACTAGCATAAAATACTAGGAGAGACTCTTTCTTAGAGAAAAGTTTGGGGAAAAGGTGATGAGAATTTAGTATAACTAAACTGAATGCTCTTTCACTTCAGAGTTTGATTTATGTAGATGTCAAGGATATTCCTAAAAATGCCTTAAGGTAGATCCAGCATGAAATCACCTTCATAGCATTTTGGTGTCCACAGGATGCAAATGGGTTGAGACACAGTTACACTTCCTATTCTCTTTTTGCTCATTTTATTTTGAGTTTCCCCACTTTCCATTCATTCCTCAGTCTCCTTGGAGCAGGATTTCCCTGGAATACTTTATTCCTGTCCAGGAGGATGACCAAACAGCCTCTATTAACTGTTGACTCCTCCAGATGGGAGCTTTTCTCTTCTCCTCTCCCTTCCCGCAAATGTGTAGGAAGGGCCTGTGGCCTGGGTGGTCAGTAACAAGTCATGTGGTTTCGGATAGTCCTTAGACCTTGAAAACATAGCTCCTCCCCTGTAAATTATGGAACTGGACTTGGATCCATTCTGAGGTCCCTGTTGGTGCTCACATCCAGGACTCTCGGTTGCCTGCGTCTCCTCCTCAGAGGGCAGGGATGAAGAGGTAGAAGAGGGTTCTTTCTCAGTGAGGAACCTCTGCTCCCATAGCAGTCTGTTTCCAGCTGTGTATGAGGGACGCTCAGCACGTCCATCCCTGAATGTGTGGGAAAGCGTACAGATGAAGGGGATTCAAGAGTGAAATGACTGTTGAGGATTGAGCGGTGGGGATCCAGTTAAGGCTCTGAAGCAGCTCTGAGCTGAGACATCACCAAGCACAGGTGGGGTGAGGAGGGGTCCTTCAATGCTGCACCACAGGCTAGAGGAAAGTTTAGGGAGGTATTCCTTCTCAATCACGGATCTAACTCTCCTCTCCAGCCAGCCTGTGCTCTCCCTTCAGCTCGTCCTGTCAACAGCTCTATGTGCCCCTGGCCCCAGTCACCATGTGGCCATCCCTCCAGGCTCAGCAGGACCTAACAAACACTCACATTGCTTCTCTCCCTCTCTCTGTCTTTCACAGATACCAATTACTTTAGGAACTAAGAGAAGATATTGTCATTTTGAGAAACCACACTATAAAATATACCTTTTCCATTTGATGAAAAAAATCTACAACAGCAACTCAATTTAAACCTCAGCAACACTGGAGGGATCCTTTCCTGAGAATGAGCATCCCAACCGACAACCACGCTCCACACCCCAAGGGACAGAATTGATGGGAGTAATCCCAGTCATCAGCCTCGGAATGTAATCCTCAGTAACGTGATCAGTGCTTTGATGGACACACAGTTTGGAAAGACCTGAACTCTTGCGCCTCTAAATATTCGCCCTCCACACACCAGCATGGGAACAACTGGAAGAAGACAACCTATCAACCCGGTCATTCTTTGCCACCAGATGGACTGTGCTCAAAGCAGACAGCATTTACTATGCACTGTTCTTGCTGAAAGTGTTTATCCTGTGTTTAATATTGAGGTAGATGTCAGATAACTGCAGAATTTAGACCTTTAAACCAGACAACTGGCCTGTCTCTCTTCAAACAGTCGATGTTTGCACCAGAAGGACAGCAAAGAGGAGGACAGATGTTTTAGGTTCCAAAGGACTAAAAAGATCATGTCACTTTATTTCTTTAGTCCTTTGGAACCTCAAACATCTCCTCAGCTTCTTGTAGTTGTCTTTGATGCTCGTGACATTGAGTTGTTTGCAGAGGATGGGTCAGTTGTCTACTCAAAGGTCTACATTTTGCAGTTGTCTGATCATTTCCTCATGATTAAATTCAGGTGAACCCTTTTTGTCAGGAACACCATCTAGTACATGCTGTGTGCTTCCTAGTGCAGCCTGTTTGGAGGCTAAGAGTGTCCACTTTACCTGTCACCACTATCATCATTTTAGCATTGAACACTGTTATGTAGAGGCTTAGAGGATCTGTTCATTGAAAAGACAGGCTTTTGTGTCTGTAATGAGTAATTTGATGAGGGGTATTTTGAGAGTGTATGAATATCATATTCTATGATGCTCTTTCTGTAAACATTGTACCATCCTTTATTGATCCCTGATATGTGTCAATTATCATATCTGTGGTATTGCCAGGTTTGTGCTGTGGAAAAGACAATCCCTACCCCT